CTGCAAGAAACTAGCCAAGCTCAGACAGCACCAAGGGTCCCACAGTCGTCGTCTCCTCCTCCTCCTCCCATTCCCCTCCTCTTCCATTCAACAAACCCCACTCCCTTCTAGCACTGATGATGTTACCTAGTTTGGGTAATGAAACGTCTGCAAGAAAGCAGCCCAGTTCATATAAGAAATGTTCATATTATTCTGAAAAATGTTCATATTATTCTGAAAAAGCAAAAAAGTTGTGATTTGACGTGAATGCCTTATTTTACTGTAACAGAGAGAGCCGGAAGTCAATGCTTCTCTTTCTTTTTTTTTTCTTTCTTTTCTTACCTTTCCTCACCTCTCCTTCCCCTTTTCCTCCCCGCTGCTTTCCTATTTACTTTTGTATTTTGTATTTTACGTTACTTTATAACTCAATTTTAAAAAAATGTCGTCGGAGGGAGGGGGAAAAGAAAGCAGCCAAGCTCAGAGAGCACCAAGGAGCCCCTCATATGTCTAAAAACGTCGTTCTAGGGAATCACTGGGGGGCTTTTTCCCCCCCATCTGATATGGAGTATAAAGGAGAAGCCAGAACCGGCTGGATAATCCCTGCCCATTCGTGGTGAAACTCTTTCCGATAGTGCCAAGTTAATTTGCCCGTCTCTTAGTTTGATAAGGCGAGTTGGAAACTTTATTTTAAGCCTGGCACCAGCGGCGTTTAATCTGTGCCACAGCACAACTGGCATGCTTTTTTGTGATTAAATGTTGCCAGGAAGATATTGCATGAATTTAAGCGTAAGCTGAGATTGCAACATCGGCAGCCGGTATACAAATTACATTCTCGGCAAAACCTCACCGATCAAATCGTTCATGCCTTCCCTGCTCCTATTATTTGGATCGTTCTGCCCCAGTTATAAAGTGAGGCCAAATTCCTTAGAGGCGTAAATTTTTTTAAAAAACAGCACTTACAGGTTATCCTCGATTTAATGACCGCAATCGAGCCCAAAACTTCCGCCGCTAAGTGAGACATTCGTGGGTTTTGCCCCATTTTGCGATCTTTCTCGCCACGGTCCTTAAGCGAACCACTGCAGTTTGTGAGGTTAGTTAGCCCGGTGGTTCAGTGAGTCTGGCTTTTCCCGTTGTCTTTGTCAGAAGGTCTCAAAAGGGGAAATCACATAACCCAAGGACACGGCAACCGTCGTAAATATGAGTCGTTGCCGAGCGTCTGAAGTTTGACCGAGGGAATCGTAAGTCGTAAGCGTGAAAAAGGTGTAACAAGCGACTTTTTTCAGTGCATGGTTGCAAGTCAAAGACTAACGGTACTCTTGTTGTTATTGTCTTAACCGACAAAGGTTGGCTTGGAAAATCCAGGTCTACCTGGAATATGGAGGTTTACAGTCCTTCATTTAAACCGCTGAATGTTTTTTATACCGTGGGTCATTATCCAACCCACAAATCCTCCTGTTGTAATTAGAAATTCTAATTTCTGACACCCCCCCTATCAAAAGCGAAACAATAAGGAAAATATTAGGCTGTGCAGAGATGGACAGACTAACTAGAAATTAAGGATAAGGGTGAGATCAGACTACTATGGAGTCTGGAACAAAATGGTTCAATGGTTGGAGTCGAGGAAAAGAAGGAAGTGTTTATAGGAATGAAGGTCGAAGTTACGTAGGCTAAAGAAAATGAAATATAATGGACAATTATGATATGAATATAAAGACTATGGGGCAGGGAAAGAAGCTAGGTTGTAAATATGTATGTAAATGTAAATAGAAACAAATACGTAACCAGCACTAAATTAACTTAGGCAAGAAAAAAAATCAACTGTTATATCTTTTTTTATGTTATAAATGATTGCCAAGAAAGTCGCACTGTGTTCAATTGTTTTTAATGTTAATAAAAACATTAATAACAAATTATTTTTTTAAAAAAGAAAAGAAATTCTAATTCTGGCAAAGGTGTAAAACATTTTGTGGACTCCCAACCTTCCTGTCCACAGACTGGGAACAAGAAAACAGAGAGTGCAAGTTGTGTCTTGTGCTGAAATGCAGCACCGGCAAGATGGACTGACAGGGAAGGGTTGCACCTCACATGCGCACGCGCACACACACACACACACACACACACACACCCTGTTGTTTCTCTTAAAATGTCCTTGTTGGCCAGCCAGGTACAAAGGACACCTGGGCTGGACAGGAAGCCAGAAACGTTGACCTTAGTTGGTGGTGGTGTTTCTTTTACCTCCAATTAACTTACATTTTCCACCTTTGAGTCTGTAGAGTTCTTAGCAATCAAATTACACACAAGAGTAACAAGCGCAACGAGAAAAAGAAACAAACCAGAATAACAAAAACAGAATAATTGCTAAACTTTTGAAGTGCCAATATAAGCAGCGTTCCCATGATGAAAGCACCGCCGTATTCCTCTCGACTCTCCCATCCTGGGAGAGTTTTAATTGGCCAGCATCAATCTTCAAATCGGAGTGTTGTTGTGCCAGGGAGGCCACACCTAGAAGATGGACTTCCTCATCTTAGTGGTGGCAGTGAAGCAAGAATCCAAAACGTCACTTTGGGGACCATTCCTTGGGTCCCTCCTGCAAGCAGACTTCATAAATGGCTGTTGATTGGGTCTGTTGAGTGGGTAAAGTCAATGTACGGGAGATAAAATAGTTATACATCAATCCAATAAATAAATAAATGAATAAACAGCACGTGGTCTATAGAAAAGAATATTTGTAGCTGAGGGTTGAGCTGTGGGGTCCTTGATGCTCGCTGAGCTAGGTGGTTCTCTTGCAGGCATTTTGTTACCCAACTAGGTAACATCATCAGTGCTAGAAGGGAGTGGGGGGTGTTGTGGAATGGAGAAGAAGAGGAGGAAGGAAGGGGCTGGTAATCTCTGAGCTTGGAGGGTTGTGGAGTAGAGGAGGAGGGAGGAAGAGGAGGAGGGCTTTGGGGTTCTTGGTGCTCTCTGAGTTTGGTGGTTTCCTTGCAGACATTTTGTTACCCAACTAGGTAACATCATCAGTGCTGGAAGAGAATGGGGGTTTGTGGAATAGAGGAGAAGGGAGGAACAGGAGGAGAGGAGTGCTCTCTGAGCTTAGTGGTTTTCTTACAGGCATTTCATTGCCCCACTAGGTAATATCATCGGTGCTAGAAGAGACTGGGGTTCTAGCACTGATGATGTTACCTAGTTGGGCTGTGAAATGCCTGCAAGAAAACCACCCAGCTCAGAGAGCACCGAGGAAGGAAGGAAGGAAGGAAGGATCACTGATCATGTTACCTAGTTGGGTTGTGAAACGTCTGCCAGAAAACCACCCAGCTCAGAGAGCACCAGGGGGAGGGAGGGAAGGAAGGATCACTAATGATGTTAGCTAGTTGGGTCATGAAACGTCTGCCAGAAAAACCACCCAGCTTTGAGGAGCCCACAAAGACATGCCCATCGGCAAGGACAGCCTGCCGCAACGCCTCCAACCTTTCTCTCGTTCAGGTACGGGAAACATCGTGGCCATCATGATTAGCTACGCCAAAGGCAGAGAAATCCTCCAGAAGATTGAAAAGGGCTACCAGGTGACCATGGCTATCGAAGTGGGGAAAAAACACGGCTCGTGGATGAATAATTACTCCATTTTCTTCGTCTCGGTCTCCTTCTTCATTGTCACCGCCGCCACGGTGGGGTACTTCATATTTTATTCCACTAGAAGGCTCCGGGTTGCCAGGGCCCAGAACAGGAGACAGGTGAGTTTTTCTCTCTCTCTCTCTCTCTCTCTCTCTCTCTCCACCCTTTCAGCCCCGTCAGGATTGAACTTCAAGCTGGGGGCAAAATTTTGAACAGTGATGCTTTATAAAGACCTGTCCGCAATGATCAGTCCTTAAGCCGCCCCTCTGATAAATCCATCCATGCGAAGTAGAGACCACCAAAAGGTATTAGCATACACAACTGAGGACACAACTTAATAATATAATCATTTCTTGATTTGGGAGGAATTTGTAGAATTTTCTTGTTGCATTTGAATTTTTTTTTTTAACGGGCCAGTCTGGATTCTAGTTGGAAAGACTCTTGCCTCAGACAGCAAATATCTAAAAAAAGATACACTTTTCTAGATAATTTCAGCTTTTAGTGAACAGCTGTTTTTCCAAGGTTGGTAAATAAATTCTTGGAATACTTGTCTGGATTCTTTAAATAGCTCAAGCTGTATCCTTTTCAGAGCCTGCCAAGACTTATCACCTCCAGCCTCCTGAAGCAAAATTGGTGTGCTCTCCTGATAGATTTTCCCTGCCTAGCTGGCTTAGGGTTTAGCACCTTTGAGGCTCCCTTTGTTATAGACACTTCAAGTTCTTCCAGTGTATAATTACAACCTTTCGCTTGCTTCTCCTATCCAAACTAAAATTAATTTGCCAGGGCTTAATGAGTTGCCTCGGCGTGAAATGAATGCGTGCTAGCTCATCTGTATTTACAGCCTCATAAAAGGATGTGAATCTTTCAAGATCATTAAATATCTATGACGGTTTAATCTCATGTATGCCACCGGATGACTATTCGGTGAAAAGCTTCTGATACCACTGCAGTTGGCTGTTAAAAGCAATCAAAGAAAGAGGATATTTTTCAAACCGTATCCACAATAGTTGGCATTCATCAGTAAGATTAAAAACAGAGAATATAGCTTTCCTACCATCTCAGTCGTGCCTGTGAGAAAAAAATGAACTATTTCACATCAGATTAGGTTAAATATATATATGCATTCTTGTCATTCTATTGGGGAAGTGGGGGAAATTGGCCGAGGCCAGTTCAAAGCGGTGTATGATTTGGCTGAAACGGAGCAGAAATTTGAAGAATAGCACCTGAATTGAGCTGCTTCCATTTTTCCATCCCTGTTCCGGGCAGCTCATATTCTCACCTAGTTTGTTGAAAAGAAGGACTAGGGGTGTCAGGATGGGAGTGTTCCAATATATCAGGGGCTGCCCCAAAGAAGAGGGAGTCAAGCTATTCTCCAAAGCACCTCAGGTAGGACCAGAAGCAATGGATGGAAACTAAACAAGGAGAGAAGCAACCTAGAACTAAGGAGGAATTTCCTGACAGTTAGAAGAATTAATCAGCGGAACAGCTTGCCTCCAGAAGTTGTTAATGCTCCAACACTGGAAGCTTTTAAGAAGAGATTGGACAACGATTTGTCTGAAGTGGTGTAGGGTCTCCTGCCTAAGCAGGGGGTTGGACTAGAAAACCTCCAAGGTCCCTTCCAACTCTGTTATTCTATATAAAGGAGCTTTAGAGAGCATGAAGCGAGTTCAGGTGAACCATTTTTTTTCCCACCGGAGAACCTTGTTTTAACCTTAATCAGTCACCTGAAAACAATTTGGTTGGCATTTGGGAATTTCCCCTGGAATGTTTCCCGTTCGGCTACAAAACCCCTTTGAATAAACTAAGTCATATTTCTGTACATGCCAAGTACAACTCTTCAAAAACCACATACCTGCAAGACTCTTGGCTTATAATTAGGTCCTGGGTAATACTCCTAGGCAGGTTTGCTCCATCTCTCCTAAAGGAACACCCTCGCCCATTGTTAATTGTGTATCAGATCTAAACATTGGACGGGAGAACCAGTTCTGCACTGACACGCTCTCCTTGTCTTTTTTGACAGAGACGGCTGAAAGAGGACGCCAGGAAAGCAATTGGGCAGCTACAACTGCGTACATTAAAACAGGGAGACAAGGTACCAGTACGACACCCCCCTCCCCCTCCAAAAAAAGAACAAGGAGGCGGATTCATCCTCTTTATGTGCAGGTTGCACCATCCTTCAAAAAAGACACCTGCCCAGCCTGTTCTTGTTCCTGTTCCAGAAAATAACCATATCCCTAGTTTGCTTGTTTGTTTATTTTTTAAATGTCCTATAACCTTGTAAGGAAGCCTGTTATGCCGGGCCAGTTTGAATCTTCCACCTTAGTTCCTTGCAGCAAGCAGAGGTGTTTGAACACAAGTTGTGATGGCACAAAGGGGTGTGGCACAAAAGCAACACAGTCAGATAAGCAATAAGAGTCCCTTTATTATCTCCAACTTTGCCCCCGATGTCCAGGTTACCTTCGGGCTGGAGAAAAACTCCCAGGAACAGCCTTTAACTGTAGAAAATTCAGTCCAAAACAAGGTACACACAAACTGTAATTTAAAGTCCAAACAAGCCAAACTGAGGTAATTACTTTGGCAGGGCAGGAGCGGGAATTTCAAACTTGAAAGCATGGCAAAACTCACACAGTTGGGAAGACACCAGGAACACAGAAAAGCCACGATGATACAAGATAAACTCATGTTTGCTCCCAACAACTTACTGTGCACAGCTTCCTTTTTTATACACTGTGTTCCCAGCCACAGCTAATGAAGGGAATCAGGGCCCTTTCTTCCCCCCCGTAAGCCACGCAACCCACGTTACTCCCTTCTCCGTTCCTCCCTGCATGCCCTAGAATGAAGAGGGGGTGGGCCTGCGTCTTCCTCTGAACTCCCTCTCCCTTGTTCTACCTCTCCCCTGCTCTGCCCAGCCGGACTTTGCCCTTCCCCAGTCTCCTCCACAGACAACGGAGCCACACTCCCGCTCCCTGCTGCTTGGCTTCCCCCTCTGAGGCAGATTCCAACAGGGAATTCCAACATTTGCCTCTGGATCAGGGGTCCCCAGCCCCCCAAGGCGTGGACCCGGCTGTGGCATGCCAGAAACCGGGCCACGCAAACACGTGAAATGTCAAACTCATAACATATTTATCTGATCTTTTAGAGTTGCCAAAAGAAAGCGAGGAGGGAGAGCAGTATAGCAGCTTGCAAAACCGAAACTGTATTCCACAAATGTTTTCATAGATAGTTTCCAGGCAACCAAAGTTCCTGCCGCGCAAAATTCTAACTAGAGAGCATGATTGATGACTTTTGGCTATGGACGTGTCCCATTGGAGAATATGAATTGCGATACACCCAGGGGGGGAGGAAAACCAGGGCCAAGTGTGACAATGAATGATGTGCCTCAGAGTCAGCTACACCCAGGCAGTGCCGGCATGTTTACTCCAAATAAATCATCTTCAAGTTCTGGAAGTTGACTAGAGACTCATGATTTAAATGGGGGGGTCACTACCGGAGCCCTGACACGAAGCCCCATCCATGCGCCAGGCAAAACCACGCCCGCTCTGGTCCACGGAAAAACCTTTCTCCGTGGAACCGGTTCCTGGTGCCCAAAAGATTGGAGGCCACGGCTCTAAGACGATTCTCCAGAACTCCCATTTTTATTGTGTTGAAAAACATCATTTTTGGAGTCTACATTTTGGAGTCCTTTCGAGGGGCACTTAGCCAAAATCCCAATGCCTCCGATCGTGGTTACGTCCGCCGGTTAGTGGAAGACGAGAAGAAAATGTTTTATCTCTCTTCTTCTTTTCTTCAAAGGAAACGGGCCCTGATGCAGACAGCTGCGCTGTGTGCATTGAAGCGTACAAACCAAATGATGTCGTCCGAATTTTAACCTGCAAGTAAGTTAATCCTTTTTTTTTTTCCCTCATCCCCCGTAGTTATTCTTCTCATGCTCGTTCTCCTTCTCTCTTTCTCTGTACTCCCGGGGAGCTGGTTTCACTGAGTCGGCTTTTGTTTCTCACGATAATTGGCTCAAATGACACTTAAATCAGTTGAGTTCAGGTGTAATTGAACAGTCTAGAACAGGGGTGTCCAACCTTGGCAGCTTTAAGACCAGTGGACTTTAACTCCCAGAATTCCCACTGGCAGCATGGGGAATTCTGGGATTTGAGGTTCACCAGTCTTAAAAGTTGGCAAGGTTGGAAATCTCTAGTCTAGAATGAAATAATTGTATTTAGCTTTGAATTACAATTTTCTTTTTTTAAAAAAATTATTGCATAAACATTACAAACAACTGAACACAGTGCGACTTTCATGGCCATCATTTTGGCCATACAAGCTATAGTATAGAAATACACATAACAGTTAATTCCCTTTTTCCCTTATGTTATTAGTATAGTGCTAGTTGCATATTATTTTATTTACATTTATCTACATTTATTTACAATTATATACATATTTACAACCGTCTTTTATACTCATGCATGGAGAATTCTGGGATTTGAAGTTCTCCAGTCTTAAAAGTTGCCAAAGTTGGAAATCTTTGGTCAAGAATGCAATAACTGTATTTAGCTTTGAATTACCATTTAAACATGACTTTTATTAAAAAAAAGAAAAGTCTATATAACTATATTTTAAATAAATGCAGGCTTAAATTTGAGGTCTTCACATTTTGTTAGGTTCCTAAAATAGCAAAAACAATTGCATAACGATACTCCTACAAGCAGACCTATGTGACTATATTATATATGCATGCCAAGACTCTCCATTTAACTGTTGAATGATGACAAAGTTCTGTGCCCTTTTAAACAGTCACTGGATTTAAAAGACAACAAGACAAAATCAGAGTACACCAGTATTCTGTTTGGTATATTCCTGTATGAAACGTGAGCAAACCTAGTGGTGATTGATTAGCAGACCGTGACTAAGCAAAACATAACATAATGTGTGGACCAAATCAATTATACATTTTTAAAAATTAGCAGAAAATGTTGCCCTTACCTGTTGACTCATGGTATAAATTCTTGTTATTTTTATTATCCAGCCACCTGTTTCACAAGAGCTGTATTGATCCCTGGCTGCTGGAGCATAGGACCTGCCCCATGTGTAAATGTGACATACTGAAGGCTTTGGGAATTGAGGTGAATTTATGAGCTGTGGTTAAGTTACTCATTACCTGCTCTTTTGCTATTACCGGGCTTGCTCTAGAAAACAGTTGCAGGGCCCTTATCCTTTTGGAAAGACATTTTTGTCCATTTACAAGGAGGAAACTTAACAACAGTTTCCGTGTAAGTCCTCCATACGTGTTTCTAAGGTGGTTTTCCGTGCAAAACAAGCTTTGTGCTTAAGTTGTGGAGTTCATTAACCCTCTTTGAAAGCTAATTAAAATCCCTTCAGGGAAGAGTGTACTAAACGTACCATGTTTCCCTGAAAATAAGACCCCCCGCCTTTTTCCCCCCATCAAAAAAAAAGGCACTAGGTCTTATTTTTGGGAGGGAGGGAGGGATGATGTCCACTGACTCGCCACACTTGCATGCGTTGCCCCTGGCCTCCTTTTCGCTGTCCGAGGCCTTCAGGAACTTCTGCGGCTGGCAAGATTTTCCCGAAGGCCTCTGTAGCCAATAACAGAGCTCTGGATCGATCCTGAGCTTTGTTATCAGCTATAGAGGCCTTCAGGAAAACCTTGCCAGCTGCAGAAGAAGTGGGCCAGTAAGGCAGGTATCAAGGTGTGCGAGGCCTCGCTACAACTATCCGAAGGTAAGTAGTAAGGCAGCTCCACCCTTACCCATCCCCACCCTAGTTTAATTTTTACCTGTCTACTCTGGAGTGGGTGGGGTCTTAATGAGGGCTCATTTTGGGGATATGGATTATATCGGGCACACATGTAAAAATCAAGCTAGGGCTTACTTTCAGGGTAGGTCGTATTTTCGTGGAAACGCTAAAGGGTGAGAAGGGAGCTTTTAGCTGTGTGGAAATAACTTTAGTTTCTCCCTGTGAAATTCTGCTTGACGTAGGTGGACATAGAAGAGCGAGGAGAAGCGACGCAAGCCCCCACGGCGTCCAGTGAAGCTTCTAACGTCCCTTCGGTTAACGAAGAAGATAACCACAGCGAGACCGCCTCATCTGGCTACGCTTCCGTGCAGGGAGCTGAGGAACCGGCTCCGGAGGAGCGTGTTACTCCAGAGAGTAAGTTTCCTGCGGCTCTCGCAAATTAACCATGACCCAATTCCTTCTCCGGAGCTAGCATCCCTTCGGTTTTCCTTTGGCACAAAAAAATTGGACGGTATCGCCTGCCCCCTGCTGGGGATTCAGTGGCACACCACGAGGAGAGGGAATTTGCATTCCTTCAAGGGCTTGGTTCCTTTTTGCACAGGAGCAGGGATGACACCGATGTGCTGATCCTGGTGTGTGAGAGTGATTTCCTCATAGCTGAGCTACGACAAATAGATTCGAGGAGAAACACTGTAGTAATAGGAAATGCCCCAAAGAGACACAGTATATAAGGAGCTTGGCATTCGTTTAATATGCTTATTGACTTGCATCCCACTTTATTATTCTTGCAAATAACTCCACGTGCAGCACAATTTCCTCCTCCTGTTTTCCCCAAACAACAACCCTGTGAGGTAGGTTGGGCTAAGAGAGAGGGACTGGCCCACCTGGCTTTCACGCCAAAGGCGGGACTAGAACTCACCGTCTCCTGGTGATTGGCCCAAAATTATCCAGCTGACTTTCGGGCCTAAGGTGGGACTAGAACTTACCATCTCCTGGTGATTGGTCCAAAGTCACCCAACCAGCTTCCATGCTTAAGACAGGACTAGAACTCATCGTCTCCTGGTGATTGGACCAAAGTCGCCCAGTTGGCTTCCATGCCTACGGTGGGACTAGAACTCACTGTCTCCTGGTGATTGGCCCAAAGTTATCCAGCTGACTTTCATGCCTAAGGCGTGACTAGAACTCACCATCTCCTGGTGATTGGCCCAAAATTATCCAGCTGACTTTCGTGCCTAAGGCGGGACTAGAACTCACCATCTCCTGGTGATTGGACCAAAGTCACCCAGTTGGCTTCCATGCCTACAATGGGACTAGAACTCACCGTCTCCTGGTGATTGGACCAAAGCACCCAGTTGGCTTTCATGCCTACAATGGGACTAGAACTCACTGTCTCCTGGTGACTGGGCCAAAGTTATCCAGCTGACTTTCATGCCTAAGGCGGGACTAGAACTCACCATCTCCTGGTGATTGGCCCAAAGTCACCCAACCAGCTTTCATGCTTAAGACGGGACTAGAACTCAACATCTCCTGGTGATTGGCCCAAAGCCACCCATCTGTCATTCATGGCTAAGGCAGGACTAGAACTCACAATCTCCTTGTGATGGGCCCAAAGTTATCCAGCTGACTTTTGTACCTAAGGCGGGACTAGATTTCACCATCTCCCGCTTTTCTAGCCTGGTGCCCCTAACCACTAGACTAAACGTCTCTCTGCTCTTACGCTGTGCTTTGAGGAGTTGAGATGAAAGCAAGACAGAGAATTGTTGGGGTTCTTTTGTTTTGTTTTTTTTAAGTTCCTTTGCTGAATAATAGGATGGATTTCCTGAACTTTCAGCTTTGTAGTTCCAGAAAACCGTTTCTGCATCCAGGAACCCAGTGGAGTTTTCTGAAGCACCTGGATGCTGTTTTTAAGGGCAGCCTTAAAGTAGGACATATTAACATGCAAAGTTTATTAATCCAGCCATCCAATAAATGCAGGTGATTGGCTGATCCAAAAATCAGATTATTTCTGCTGTTGGAAATACAGCAACGATTTTTATGTGCCTGTAAACTTTTTAAGCTACCAGATGCATATAGCATTTTTTTTTTCAGACATATCAAGTCTCTAGGAATTCCATATTTCTGATTTATCCTTCCAAAGATGGAAAAGCCTTTGGTAGCTCCTGATTTAATTAATGAGCTCTTTAAAAAGACCAGCCTTTTTTAAGAAGAGCAACTCCTTATAATAGCAGTTGAACAAAATAATGAGAAGCTGAACGAAAACACCTTACTTTGCATGATCCATTCTAGGATTTGGCGGTTACGATCTGGCTCATAACCCCCAAATCCTAGAACGGGTCATTCAAAGGAGGCTTTTGAGTGGAAATCCTCCTTAATAAAATTAGGAACTGTAGAAGGCTAATCAGGATTATTGGCCTAGTGGGCAAAAACATCCCCAGCAGATAATCCTTTCCGACTTGAAAAATTCACTTTCTGTTTTTGAACCGGCGGAACTCTCCAAACCGATCTATGAACTTAATGGCATTTAAGCCTATTAACTTCTAATCCTTTATTTTAAAATTCCAATTAATGTCCCGGTAAGCCTTCAAACCGCTTGGTATTTAAGGTCAGTGGCTTGCCCGAAGCCCACCAGTTGTGACTGCAGCCACTGTATTTATGCCCTAAATTTAGAGAAGAGATTGGACTCCCATCTGTCAGAAAGGGTGTGGGGTCTCCATGGCATGCTCCATATCTCAAGGTCTCCCTGTAGCTCGGGGGTGACAAACTCGACTTCCTCGCGGCCGCATCAGGGCTGTGTTGGACCTTGGGGGTGAGGGGGCGTGGTCAGGGTGGGCGTGGCCAGCATGACATCACTTGTATCAGGGGCACCTGTGATAGCCCAAGTGCTCTGCCAGCCAAAACAGGCTCCCAAGCTCTGTTTATTGCCAGGACAGCCTCCTGCAACCCTCCACCAGCAAAAACAGAGCTCGGGAGGGCGCTGTCGAGCTGTTTCCGCTGGCAGAGGCATCGTGGGCCGGTCCACTGCTATTTCCAGGGTGACCCCGCTGGCCAGATCTAAGCAACCCATGGGCCAGATCCAGGCCCCCAGGCCTTGAGTTTGACCCCCCTGCTGTAGCTCGTACAAGAAATGTGACGGGCTGTGAGCAGATAGCCAACTATCTCCTCCTCCTCCTCTTTCTCCTCCCTCCTTTCTCCAAAGGTGACCACCTCCATCTTGTCAACGCTTCGCAGATGCCCGAAGTGGACACGCTTCCCCATCTTGACAATCCGGGCTTCGAAGGGGACGAAACCCAAGAGCAGCCGGTGAAATCCTAGGTGCTGTTTGGCGCAAGACTGCAGATCTCTCAAGACAAACCAGCATCCCAGACCGACGTAGCAGCAACGTCCCCCTTCGATCACCCTCCCGTGCCCCCCACCCCCCGAGATAAAATACACAATTTTAAGATTGCAAGTGTCTGGAGTGGCCTTGCTCATTCACTTTCTTTCCTGAATTAGTCTTCCTTTTAGTATTACTGATTCTTCTGCTTCTGGCTCCATCCAGGAAAAACCATCAAACATCCTGCGAACAAGACATCCGAGCATTCTCACTTTTTCCTACAGTAGAACTTCAGCCATTCATCCTACAGAAGCATTAACCCATCAGGAAAAATACACACATACACACCAATCTTCAAATTAAGTTTAAATTAATCGAGTTAGCTTTGTTAAAAATTCTTTTAAAGCTTTCGGGTGTCGAAACCACCGGGGCCAAGCCTGCATGCTGCTTTTCAGCCCCGGTTTTGAATCCACTTGGCTTTTAATGTAATTTATTGAGAGGTTTCCCTTTTCTTGGTCTGTTGCAAATTCCCTCTTGCCGCGTCGTTAAAATTGCCAAGCAATTCAGCTTTCAATCTGGACCGGTAAAAAGACACTGGGGATATATTTCTTTCCCACCTTCTTCGCTGATTTATAGAGCAAATTTTAACACTCTGGGCATTGTAAAAATGTTCCAGGGAACAGAATGCAACTTATTTTGTATTGGGGTGGTGATGGCGGAAAGCTGCATAAAATTTGCCCTGTGATTTTTGTTTGTTGTTGTTGTTGCAATCTTAACAAGCTGTCACACAGGCCCAATGAATGGTCCAATTTTTAGTTAGTGCTGCTCTTAACTTTGTCAAGAGGCTTAACTAGGCCTTGCTCGAAGGGATTATTTTGTTGTTGTTGCTGCTACTCCAAAGAAAACAGCTAAGTAAAGATACCCAAAGAGTACTGTAAATATTCAGAATAGGCAGCGCGTGGACATGGCTAAACTGGAAATCGATGAATGGGTGAACTTTTAAAATTATTTTTTCTAACGTGTAAGAAGGGAATAAGGGGAACACAAGGGTGCCTTTGCCTAGGGCTCAAAAACCTCACCCACCAAAGTGAATTACTATATATTTAATAATGCACTTTATCTCACGTTCTGTGTTTCCGTTCTCTGATTGCAAGTCTAGACCAAGTGGACTTGAGGAGCAGCGATAATCGGTTTCGAAACTTTTTTTTCCCACCTTGATTCCAATAGGAAAAATCAGTACGCCTTTTTCTCCCCTTTTTTGCATAGTGTTCAATGAAGTTGTAAATACTTGATTTCTACTGAATTACTTTGAATACAAAATGTAAATAAAGCTCTACTACTGCCTGTTTAGGATGTTCTCCTTTTTTTTTAATAATGACGATAACAACAATAATTATTATTTCACAAACTGACGACCTAGAACGCCATAACCGAGTTGCTAAAATCACTCACTGGAAGCTGCCAAAAAGTTTGGATTTCGGTATAGTAACAGCTACTGGGAACATCAGAAGGTTCTGGAGAGTGAAAAAGTCAAGTTCTTGTGGGACTTCAGAATTCAGACTGACAGGCACTTGGCCCACAACACGCCTGACATAACAATAGTTGAAAAGAAAAAGGTTTGGTTCATTGACGTTGCAATGCACGAATTGAAGACGCACGAATTGATGCACGAATTGAAGACGCGCAGCAAGAAATTGAAAGCCCCCCCTCCAATCTCTTCTAAAGAGGCATGATGGTTGACTTTTGGGAGCTGGTTGGGGAATTGTGGGAATTGAAGACCCCCTCCCACCTTCAAAGATGCATGCATGCTGGGAAATTCTGGGAACTAAAGCCCCCCCTCCCCCTTTAAAACCCCATGCACGCTGGGGAATTCTGGGAATTGAAGACCCCCTCTCCCCCTTTATTTTTTTATATAAAAAATTATTGATTTTTAAAAACAAACATAAACAAAACATAAAACATCTTTTTTGAAAGC